AAAGATGCCACCATATTCCCCTTTGTTTCGGGCGAAAGTATCTCATATTTAAATAGTCTTTCGGAGATATTCTAAGATTCATAACGTAATAGATTTTGATGTAATTATTGTAGGTTACGCTAATTTTCTACTGTGCTACAGATTCAAGCTTAGAAAAACCAATGAAACAAACACCACCGAAACAAGCTCGACCTAAAACTATCAAACACTTTGATTGCTACAAGTTTTCACACCACAAAGGAAATGAAGATGGCAATAATATTTGCAAGCCACAAACCACAAAGGAAGAAGAAATGGGAGGACAGCAAAATCACCAAGCAAAGCTTTGAAGTTTACAAGGAAAAACATATCGAGTTAAATCTATCAATGACCACCCAACTTTATACTTAATATTACCATGACCTCCCAATTTGATTTTATTTCACCATGGTCATTCAATTTCATATAATGTTTCACCATAACAACTCAATTTCATATAATATTTCACCATGACCACCCAACTTTTTTTCACAATTTTCATTAATTTTAAAAGGAATAAAATGGTAACTTTGTATTTTATATATAAAATAAATTTAAAGAAAAAAACAAAAATAAAAGTTTTTAATTTTAAAAACGTTTATTTTAAAATAAGTTTTTATTTTGTTTTATTTTTCTAATTAACGTTTTTCAAAAATAAGTATTTATTTTAATTTTGGTTTTTTAAAATTATATTTTTACCCCTTTAAAATTAATGAAATTTGTGAAAAGAAGTTAGGAACGTTATATGAAATTGGATGGTCTTGGTGTTGCTAAATATAGAATTGGGTGGTCATTATGAAACAAAATCAAATTAAGTGGCTATGGTGATACCAAGTATAAAGTTGGACCATTGATGCAAAAGCAAACAGAATATGCCATAGATTTCATATAGATGCGAAAGCAATAAATATGTTTATTCTTAATAAACCTTACACGAGTCATAATTAAACTCAGTAGCAACATTCGCAACACCTATCCCCTTATCTTTTCTTCCATTATTCTTCGTAGAACGGTCTCTTTGAATATGTTCAAACTACTGGAGTTAAAACACATCTTCATTTTCATACTTTGCTTAAACCTACATTTACCATCAACAGTTTTATAAAAACGTTTTGTATTGTTAAATTGAAAAAACACATTTTTGTCATTGGAAAAACATAACTTAAAATATGTTGTCATTTTATCAAAAAATATACAAAAACACAAAATATAACCAACGATCACAAGTAAAATACAGACACAATTCACACTAAATAATCAAATATTTTTTCCTAAGATCACGTGCAATTCTAATAGTGAATAAACAAATTCACAACAAACTCACAAAAAATTAAGGTCAAATAATTCGTAAATCTAGTAACAGGCAATGGTTACCCCACATTGTAACCCTAAACCTAATGTCTCCCCCACATAATAATTCGCTAATGTTGAAAATTAAACTAGGATGAGCCAATTTACTAGAGGGAACCAATCTACAGTCCATTAATAATAAGAGATGCAAATTTACTACTTTAAAGCTACCACTATTTGTCCTAAACCCTCCAACATTTGCAGCAATCAATCAAATACGATCGAATTCCAAATGCGTAAAGGGCAAAATCATCCAAATTTCACCGTATCACTCAAAATAGAAAACGGACACCACTGTAAGGTCCATCATGCCATCAGCCACATTCTACCTTTTAAAATCGTTGCTGAAAAACATTGGACACGTGCCCGCAGTTCCTACGTGTGGTTTCAACGCGACACGACCACACGCCGACGCCGATGCCGCTAGCTACGCCTTGGTCTGCACATCAAGGATATGATCTCCATTTCTTCAAAAGGCCATTGGTTTGGCCAAAATAGACATAAACAGGTCTGACAACTTGTTGCAAAAACTATAGAGTTTTCGATCCATGTTTTTAGCTTCAATTCTACGTCGTTTTAGAAGGTTTTTGCCCATTTTTTCACAGATTTCTTAACACCATGTGCTCTGATACCAAACGTGAAAGATGAGTTATGGTATGTTGTTAACCCCAAGCAATTTCGATCATTTTGGGGATGGTAAGTTACAAATTGTAAAAAATTAATGAATTTTGAAATGATATTAAAAAATTTAGTGATTTAATTGAGATAAATTCAAATTTAGTGATCAGTTGAAATTTGGTTAAATTAAATTGACCACGGATAAAATTTAGGGAGATACTACGTATATACAATGTTGTACACACGGCTTTACACCTCCCTCACATGGAGGGGGCCCACACACAATAAAATATTCGTAGCCCCCCCTCCATGTGAGGGGAGTGTAAAGCCGTGTGTATACCTCATGGTGTACACATAACATTTTTCTAAAATTTAACCATATATATCGCACCTTTTTAACTATGATGAAAAGAAAGAAACAACCACATCACATTTAGAACGTATTTGATGTAGATTTTTTGATAATAGATTTTGTCAAACATAATTTTTTGAAAAATTTGATTGAAAGTAGAAAAGTTATGGGTCCACGTGAACAAAAATTTATTGGAAAATGTGATTGAAAATATGTTTGAAATTTTTTTTTTTTAAAATAATTTGTACCAAAAACTTAAGTGTGTTTAATTGATTTTATTTTCTATAAAAATGTCATTGTTTTGTTCAAGTTCCTAGCATTTTTTTTCATGATAAATATTTTTCAAAAAATAATCACGTAATCATATTTTCCTTAAAATCAAGAAAAACATTTTCTTACGATCCTTTTGATAATAAGGTTAGGTGTGAATCCTAAACCATCTGGCTGAACTGATTTCAAAATTTTCAATTATTGAGAATTTTTTGAACATTCTTCAAATCTATTCATCTTTTGAACGAAGTTAATGATTTGGGTTGATGTTTATTAAGTTATATCATTCATCTTGCATTTCTTTGCCTGTAATTTGATTTAGCCATTTGAAATTTTGGTCCATAACCTACTCTAGTGTGACACATTTTTATTATTATTTTTTTATGACTTAGTATCCAAGTTTCGCCCGATTAATCCCGAAAAGTGGTGACTTTCTCCCAAATTCGCCACTCAAATAAATCGGATGCGGTCACAACTTATGCATAATTGGATCAGACATTCGGAAAGCGGATCTCTTCCTTGTTGACCTCCATTTACGACGTGTGAACAGAACCCCTAGAAGGGTAACATCGATCACTATAATTTTGTCTCAACAGGACATCTGTCTTCTTACTTAAATATTGCCTTCCATCTACAGCGGGGATTCGAACCTTCAATACTTCATAAAGAACCCTCATTATTTACCACTGTGTCAAGCCCGTGAAGGCTAGTGTAACACGTCTTTCAATCCCGCTACACATTCAGATGTTGGTTCACAGGGAAAATCCAGGAATTTAAATTTGCTAATATGGCATGAAATAAAGAGGTGACGTGTCGTAGAAATTTTAAAGAAAAGAGGCCAGTGTTACAGCCTAAATATTTATAACTTCATTACATTTTTTTTTATGTTTTTGTCTTAATTTTTGGGGTTATTATGGGATATCAAACAATAATACAATTTCGAAATGTTCATGACCTGGTATTTCACGCCGGTAATGACGCATGAAACAACCAATTGTAACAAATGTTACGGTGCGTAACAAATGTTACGGTGCGTCAAAGTAGGCAATTTGAAACTTGTATTTCGAGATTTTCGATAATATACTAACTTTTAAAATTCTTCGATGTTCATATGCTAGTCTAATCCAAAAATCGTCGGTGTCATCTGAAACTCGTTTCATGAACTATATGATAGAAATATCAAATAGTCTAAATGAACATCGAAAATAATTAAACGTGCACCTGTGGGTGTTAAAAAGAGGCGTATAACTCTTTTTTTTATTATTATTTTTTCAATTATTTCATTAATGTTTATTATTTTTGCGTAACAAATTTCTCAATATAATTTAAATCATTTTATTAAGAAATTTTATATAGGTATGATGTCAAAAAAAATCTGATGTATTATATTAGGAAATTTATTAGATTATTTTAATTTTTTTCGAAAAATGATCGAGAGAAAAAAGTAACATTAATGTAAAAAAAAATTCCTAAAAATGATCGATTTAAAATTTTTAGAAATTTTCCAGAGGTAAAAATAATTGAGAGGAAAAAGTAATATAACAATTCATATTCCATATAAAGTAATAAAAATTTTATTAGGAAATTTTACATATGAATTTTTTTTTGTTGACATCATACACCATGTAAAATTTCCTAATAAAATGATGTAAATTATATTAAAAAATTTGTCGCGCAAAAATAATAAACATTAATGAAATAATTGAAGAAATTTAAAGAAAATACGAGTTATACGCATATTTTTAACCCATGTTTGATGCACGTTTAACTATTTTTTATATTCATTTAGATCATTCGATATTTCTGTGATGTAAGTCTCGAAATAAGGTTCAAAATGACGTAGATGATTTATGAATTTGACTAGCCTATTATTGGAGGAAAATTTTTAAAGTTAGTATGTTATCGAAATTCTCGAAATACTAGTTTGAAGTTGTCTAATTTGACGCACCATAACATTTGCTACAATTGACCGTTTTGTACTCCATTAACAACGTAAAATACTAGGCATTGAGTACTTCGGAATGTAATATTTGGACTTCATTTGATATCCTTTAATGATCCCAAAAATTAAGATAAAACATAAAAAATATAATGAATTTAGAAATATTTTGGCCGTGAGCACTCCTCTTTTCTTTAAAAATTCTCCACACGTTAACTCTTTATTTTCATGCCACATCACTAAATTCAAATCCCTGAATTTTTCCTGTCAACCATGGGCTGTACGTTAAGCATTATTCCATTTCTTTCTTCGTTGTATTATGGATTTAACACGAGTTACGCTACACGAACACTGCCATGTTCGTTTAGATTTATTCATTTAACATACAAGTCAGTAAGTCACATAAATCAAGTCAACATTCTAATTAACCCATCTAATTTCTGCAATTTCAAAATGCAGATTCAGAATTGCTACAGGATCAAAGGAGATTACTTGACTAACACAGAAACCCCTTCAATGGGACTGAAAGACTTCCGCCCTAGACAGGCTCAGAGCATTGGGTATCTGGGGGATACTGTTGAAGCAGAAGCAGCGGCAGCAGCAGCGTCGGCCGCCTATAAAATTGTAGTAGCAGAAAACAAATCGTTTGTGGCGGCTGAAGCTGTCAAAGAGGCAGAAAAGGTCTTGGGATGGCCAAAGACGTGATTTCTCTGCTGCAATTTGCACTAGACGTATTTAAGCAAAGTAATATTGGAAAATCCAGTTTCTCTTCTCCTTTTTCTTTCCCTCGTTAGACTTTTAATTTCCGTTTTCCACATTTACTGGTTCAAATGGAGAAGTTCTCCTGATGGCATAACATCTGGGCTTGTATCACTGGATTCCACCAGCAAGTATACTCCATGTGGTTTCCCATCCATTATTAGCTAATACTAGTTGGATGGATCTTGTTAAAGCTGTGTTACAATGAACAAGATTTAAATGTCTTTTTCTTTCTTAATAGAGTACTTACCAGTTATCCTACATGAGAAGGGTCGGAGCCTCTTCATATGATAACAAGTTGCATCCGTGATGAACACGATAGAAATTTTTAATATCAATTGATGGACAAATATTAAACCCAAAAGATAACAGGAAAAATCTTAATAAAACCGTATCTACTTGATCCACTAATCATAGCAGAAAATACCCGAAAAAGCAGTAAAGAAGATAATGAAGGGAAGATGACTATAAAATAATTCTTCATAGCAGTACAAGGAGAATCAAATTTCTTGTAATAGCAGTCTAATCCTTAAGCAGGGATTGAAAAAGGCTAAATCTAATATGGAGTCGACCAGCGAAGTGATTTAAGGCGTAAACTTCAATATATATGAATATAATGGCTCAAATAATTATAAGACTGTAAATTAAAATGTCTAATATGCAGCTAGAAACATAAGAGACCAATTAAAATGTTAAAAACGAAATAACATAGTAGTGATAACAAAATAAGACCACTAATGAGTAAAAGAAACGACAATCTATATTGCTTGCTTTGACTTTAAACAGAAACGAAGCTGAAAGAAGATGAAAGATACACCCGATGGCAATAAAAATATGCAAGAAAGAGAAGTGAACCTAAAGTGAGATGAAACAATGCCCACAAGATGATCAATGCATTGATATAGAGATTTCGTACAGTACAACATTTTACAATTTCACAACGAAGTTATAAAATATGCGAAGAGCACGTTTGATTTATTGCAAAAATTCTCTATCCAACATAAGTATCTTAAAGCTCAACAATTACCATAAATGCAGTTACCAAAATCTTACACTAGAAGCAAAGTACAAATCAAAAGGATAAACTCATTAAATATCTTAATAGCCAACACAATTAAAAGTTGTTAAGTTCTTGCAAGGCACCAAGATTTGTTCCGAGCCAGTAATCATGTAACAAATTATAATAATACGAGGCCAAGTTCAGATGGTTTCAGAGCATTGCTTAGCCGATAGTTGTACAGATAATAGTATAGTTGGCCATCACCTTGTCCAAATTTGAGATCCTTCAGAAAAGACTCATTCTCCATGACATCCAGTGCATTAAAGACATCAAAATCCTTCTGTTTTGCAATAATAAGGGCATCGTTCATCAATTGTAGCAGTGGAATTCTAGTAGAGACGTTATAAAAACTATAAGCTGCTTTCAGAATTGAGTGATTCTGGTTGTTAAGGATGGATGACGGAAGGGTATAGAAGCTTATAAAATCTGTTATTTCGTGAGTATCTTGACTATCAACAACATAACTATCGACTACATTCTCCTGAGAAAGAAGCCAATGCTCCACTTCGTTGTCATCAAAATAAGGAGCAACAACGAATTGGCTCAAGTAGTTCTTCAGCAGCCGAGTAACTGCAGGAACATCACAGAGCTCCATTTTCCTCAAACCAGGGGTTGATGTTGAATTTGGCAACTTGTAAAGCTTAATTGCACGGCTCATTGTCATCCTATCACCAAGCCTGGAGAACCCAACATCAATGAGCTTCTTCGGGTTCAATGTCCTGTGCCAATATTGGCATGTGGTGACCGGTGTCGGAAGAAGTACTCCAGCAGTATAAGCAGCCTGCCAGATATTCTCCAAGTGAATCCTCCTAGTAACTTCCTTAATCATCACAGGTGCGAGTCTCTTGGACCTGAGCTTCTTGTGAACGCACAAGAAATTAACCTCGGCCATTTTCACAATCTCATCACGCACCCTCATTTTTACCGGAATACCAGTGATAAAAGCAACCAATTTCTTCGAAGACTTGACACGAACCCCAATGTGCCAACTCTGGTAATATCCTGGAGGGTGCAGAGCCCAGCGAAGAAACTCCTTCGAGTAATTAAATCTGAACAGGTTATCATCATCCTCTACATAATTATTAGTCAACAATACATAAACCTCATTGCAGACATAGTCAGAATCCATATCACAAACAGTCCATTCATACAAGTTAGGGAGATTGTAGGGCTCTTGTTTAACCTCGGATAACGGTTTTGGCAGCTCAATGGGGCCCTCGGGCAAACTCGAGTCCCCAACATCCTTAAATTGACCAACAGGTTGGGTTTCCCAAAACTTGTGCTGTTTATTGGAAGTACCGGTATCCTGGAACTTTTGAACTAGGTATTCAAGGGTAGATTTATAGTCGGGAAGCGGGTTTTCCACAGAATCATGATCCGGATTTTCTTTATTGGGTTCAGATGGAGATTCTTTGTCAGCCATTTTCCAGTACTGCAGAAATACAATTATTTTCTAATTATGAAAGTACAAAACCATTTTTCGCCAGAAAGCAAACAAATTATCAGAAGAAAACCATCCTTACTGAAAAAATGAAGATATGGACTTCAATTCATACACTTTTTATTGCATAAAAAACGAAATTACGTAAAATAATCATATTACAAATCAAATCTAATAAAAAAATCTTGGAGCAATAGAAAGATTCAGAAACCTACATTCCGTGTGGCGATTCTGAAATGTCAACGGGCGACTTCAATTGGGAATTCTTGCACTGCTTTTCCACTAGGGTTTTACGGGAGCACGGAAGGATTTTAGCATTTAAGCCCATATTAATTTTTTGTATCCTTTTCATATCTAAAGTGATCCCATTTGTTTGATTTGGCTTACATAAAGACCCCCAAGGAAACAAATGTGACAGAACAGGAGCATTTTCAAAAGAGATTGTCAAGATATGTGTTTTTTGTGACTTTATAATCTCGACATTCACTTTCGTGATTGAATTATTACTTTAGGACTGTACTCGTACAAATTGTTGTTAAAATAATTTGTGCAAGTCTAATTTTCTATCGAAGACGAGGGAGAGAGATGCATAAATAACAATTGTTTTTAGACTCTGTTTGATAGGCATTATTTTTCAGAAAATTAGGAAAATATTTTCCACTTTCCACTTTTTTGGCTATTTGATAGGCGAAATTTTCCACGGAAAATATTTTCCCACTTTTGCCCACACGTGTGCATTTTCCGGCTTTTTGATTGGCTGGAAAAAAAAAAATTTTCAATGGAAACAAATGTCATAACCAATGGTAAAAAAAAATTTCACTTTAATGAATAATTTTCATGTAAAACAAAATCAAACGAACACTAAATTTTGATTAAAAAATGATTTTTTAGGAAACAAATTTATTTTCCTTTTTTTTTTTTTTTGGCTTTTTGGTAATGAAAACAAATTTTATACCCAATTGTGAAATTATACCAATCAAACACACTTATGGTCCGTTTGATTGCAAGAGTGGAAAATGAGTGAAAAGAAAACGAATTCCAGGGAATTGAATTGCCTAGAAAATGTTTTCCTGGGAATTGTCAATTAATTGTGTTTGATTGGTATAATTTTCCACCTGGAAAATATTGAAATTTTTCACCTTTTGGTGTTTGATTGGTTTTGTTTTCCATGGAATTTATTTTATTTTCCAAATATTGGTGTTTGATAGTTATTTGTAAGAATTTGATATTTAATTATAATTAAATTATCACACAATATATTTTTGGAATTAGAGATGAATTTGTTATTTAATCAGAATTTGACTATAATTAAAAAAATGCGCTGGACTAATTATTTCCTAATTATTTTCACAATAATTAGAAATAATTTCCTAATCGGCCTAATTATTTTCAATGCGTTGGACTCTGCAATCTCCATTATCTTGCTTTCGTTTTTTTATTTTTTATTTTTCAAAGAGCCAACCATTGATAATCTTTCAAGTGCTAGTGGATAATTGGTGCTGATACATTTTTATACTATAAACTCCATGCCCAACATCTATATCAACCTTTCAAAACCAACAAAATAGCCAACAAAAGATTGAGGATTATAAATGGCTATTGTTTTCCACATACATAATTGACAAAAGATATCCACACCATATGTTACAAAACACTGCACATTAGTTTGTTACGTGTGTGCATTACAAAAAACATTCAAAGTAGTACTTATGTGGATGGAGTTTTCCAAATGGATTACAAGTTAATACATACTAACGACATAAGTCATGTGCAATCTATGGTAGTGGAGGTGGATCACGACCAAGCTTGTCAAACACCAAAGCACGCATGTATTTTGTACTCGTCAAGTTCATAAATACCTTGGCCAAACTAGCGTCGGATCGAAAGGCTTTCATGACTTGCATG